ACAAAAAATTTCTATGAGGATAATTTTTTATAGGTCACAAATTCTTCGATCGAGTGTTTTATGCATTCTTGTGTTTCTTCTTCTTGATTCTCATGATGTGACGCAACTCTTTGTGATACTTGGGATGTGAAACTAGTTTCGGTGATTTGCATATTGCCTCTTATAGTTAATTTTCAAATAATATGACATTCATTGATTTTTTTTTTTGTAGAATTTTTGTGTTTCAGCATAGTAGTATTTTTACCTTTTTCTTTTTGAAGAATAGCCCACAAAAGTACATTTAATTGATCATAGTCAAATGTGGTCAGATTTTGATAAACAAATGTGATGTAACCAAAAATTTTTAATGGTAGGTTAGTGGTGAAAGGCCTGAATGTGGAGGTAGGATTTTATGAGGTGTTGACAGGTTATTGTCAAAATTTAGCACTATGCTAGGCATCCTATTTATGAGATAACTCAATGTGAGAACTGCAACCCCTAGAAGTGTTTGGATATATTTTTATTGAAAAGCATTGAATGGGCCACCTCAAAGAGATGTTATTCTTTCTCACAACCACACCATTTTGTTGGTGTGTGTCAGCACATGAGATTATATAAATGATGTCATTTTTGAATAGATAAGGGCCAAGAATGGAGTTGTAGTAGTCTTTTACATTATCAATTTTGAGAATATGAATTTTGCTCTAAAATAAGTGAGGATCATGTTGCGGTATGTTTCAAATATACTGGGAGTTTCAGATTTCAAGTATACTGGCAGTTTCAGATTTTTACTTCATGAGAAAGATCCAAACAGTTTTGGTGTGATCATTTATGAATGTGAGAAGCCACCTAGCCCCATTTGTATATTTTTATTTTTTTGGACCTCCGAATATCACTATGAACCATGGAGAAGGGATGTGTTGGTTTGTATTTCAAGCTTGGGTATATTTCTAGTATGTAACAAGTTGATAAGCTTCACACGGATAAGAGTTAGTTTTTTATAAAAAAAAAATAAACAAATGGGGCGAATTGTCTATGACGAAAATGCCATAATAAAGTTTGACTCTCATGAGAGGCAGACTCAAATACAAAGACTTGAATCAAAAGGATTACGAATTGTGGGATGATTCTTTTGAAGCGGGAGTTCTAATGAGCATATAAAGTCCATGATACATGTCAGCAATGCCAGTCACCTTTCCCAAGGCCATCACCTAAATTCACACAAATTATTGTAGATTTTAGTAACACAATTTATATCACGAGTTCGTTTACTGATAGACAGTAAACTGCAGTTAAGTTTAGGAACATAAAAACACATATTCAAGAAGGAGATCCTTTGCGAGTTTCATACTTTCTCTTCTTCCACAAACGAGAGAATCATCTGCGGTTCTAACCACAACATGATGTTGGCAAGAATGGAAGGATTGGAAAGCAGTGATATCACCAATCATGTGATCAAATGCTTTGAAGTTCAATATCCAAGGCTAAATCTTCCGGTTGAGAGCAACAAGGGTGGATGAAAATCTACCTTGATGTGCTAGAATGCTTAGAATATTGTCCCGAAAGCCTTTGAAGAACTTTAAGTTGTTCCTTGGTGAATAGAATTTGTTCATGAGGCTAGTCTTTGATGTTGTGTTTGTTTGATTTTTCCCCTCACTTTTGATTTTTTTGGGCTTCCAATCATAACTCTTCCAACATGTCTCCTTCAAATGACCAAACTTCTTGCAATATTTATACCATCATATGTTTCTCTTTGATTTGTTGTCCTGAGATGATTTGTGAGTGTATAAAGTCGAGTAGTCTACATTTGATGTTGTGGGATTACCTTTCATCATTAGTTTTTTCATGCTATTTTCCCTTCAACTTCAACAAAGGCTTCATGAATTAAGGAAGAGATTTGATTCTCATTGTTCTTCCTCTGAATTCCTAGAAGGAAACATTCTCTTCTGTTCAACAACGATTTTGTAAAAGAGCAGTGTCGTGTGAGCAAACATACATATCTGGAGAGAGTGTTGAAGTGTTGAGTAATATTCAACTCACCCTGTCGCAGTTCATGTAATATTGTTTCAATTTCAAACAACGCAGAATTGTTGTCAACACTTGCATAAGTTTTCCTTGCGGCATTCTAGCTTTTTTTGCTATTTTGTTCAGAAGGAAGTTTTTTCCACTTTCCGTGGTCATGGAGCTCACAAGCCATGAAAAGATCATGTGATCTTTAATTTGCCATGTCCGATTTTTAGGATCAGTAATTTCTTGTGCGGGATTATTCTCCCTTAATCATCTTTTCTTTTACCACGTATGTACATGAATATAGATTGGGACCACTGAAGGAAATTATTGCCATGTAGTTTGTGATTTGTAATCCAGAAAAATATTTCAGATGCTGCAGAACCAAATATTTTGGATTCGGGTTTAGAAGTAACTTCTGAAGAGAAGGAAAAAGCTTTCATGTCATTGACACAAGATTTCTGTTGCAAATAGAAACCGTCTTTCGTAGACACAAGATATCCACTGGAGGAGGAACTGTCTATCAGCGACATAGGATTACCGCTAGAAAGATTTTTTGTCATCGACACAGTTTTCACTAGGGAAAACTGCTGCTTGTTGCCAACACAAGATTTTTGCTAGAAAGAGAAGCTCTTTGTTGGCAGACACAAGGTTTCCATCGGAGAGATAATGTCGCAGACGTTAAAGAGAAGATTGCCATGAGGAACTACTCACAGGTTTGAGATTTCCACCATAGAGATAAAATCAAATGGACCTGATTGAGATTTCCACTAGATAGAGAAAATCCCAGGGATCCTGTCAATATGTGGGACTGAGTGAATGAAGCCCGCTAGAGCAGGTAACACGGAAGACAGCAGAAGCTTGTTGGAGCAGGGAACACAGAAGCCTATGGGAGCATGTAATGCATAAGACTGCAGATAATTTCCACTAGAAAGAGGATGTTTTGGTCCTCATTGGATTCGGTGGCTGTGAAGCGCAGAAAAGTCTGTGGCTGGGAAGACACTGGCTGCAGGGAGAGATCTAACAGTCAGAGGGGGCAAGAGTCGTAGCCAGGGAGGGCTAGCAGGAAGGCAGGCTGGCGGCTGCAGAGAGGATTCCAGTGGCTAAATAAGAGATGCAGTGTTTGTTTTTTAGCTCTGATATCATATGAAATTTAGGAGGAACTTTCTTAGAGGGAAAACCTCTAATTTTTCATTCATTTAATGCAAGCAAACAACAAGTATATATATATATATAGCTCAGACTAGCCCTAATTCAATTGGAGGGAAATTTAAATCATCATGACAAGAATGAAATAAATAAAATGCAATTTAGATAATTAAAGGGAGAATAATTTCTTCCCCTCAAATGTAATAGTTGACCCACAGTCTCCCAAGTCATGAATGGGCCCATATGGTCCACAGATGCATACATACAACATATGTCATAATAATATTTTCAATACATGATGATGGAAATATCCAAGCTATCAAGTTTGTGAATAAAAGTAAGAATTTATACAACCAGAAGTATCTAGCATAATCACCGCATGTTTTCAACATATAAAAACTAGCTAGAAACACATTTAATATATTTATAAAGATTGGATTATTTTAAGCAACTATAGACTAGCTAAATATGTATGAAACCTATGCTAGAAGACAGCTTAGAAAGCGATTAAAATGTTACCATAACATGTAAACTCATTCTATGCCTTTCAAATGTAGATAGTAGACACAGACCTTTGAAATATTTTTATAGTAGACACAGACCTTTGAAATATTTTTATACATGTAAACTCATTCTATGCCTTTCAAATGCTACTATCCTTTTTTTATGTGATTTAATTTTCTTTCTTTTTGAAATGGGATGAGTGGAGATCAAGGTTTTACTGAAGTTGACCTATTATCACTTGTGTCTGAATGGTTTCAACGAAGATCGGCCATCATATTAGTTTGTGCAATACTTTTTAATAGACCTTCAGAATGATATTTTAATCGAATTTGTTCATACATTACATCATCTTTTATAGTGAAATCTCCTATTATGTGAAAGAATATAAAAAGTTATTTGCAAAACTGTCCTGGTAGTAAAGAATGGGAAGTTGTAGGTCATACTTTCAGAGATTGCTACCTTATTGGATCCTATATGTTAAAAGAATGATCACGATCAATGGATCTAGTTATTAGTACTCTTTTTTGGATTATTCTAAAAACATTTTTCTATTTGCTAAATGAAGAAAGGAATCTTATCCCTTTATAGTACCTTTAGCCACCCAATGAGTAATGTGCAAGCATCTCTTTTATAAACCTACTTTATGTGAGGATAAAATTTTGAGTGACTACCTCTTGGATGGTAGAATCTGTGTTGGCTTCACTTTAAATTTTTTCTATATTTCTATAAGAAATAGTGTTGCCTTTCACTGCTTGTACTTTAGTTTTTGGGGCTGCTTGCAATACTTTTTTAATTGAAAGGATTCTGTCTTAGGTTTTTTGTCTCTGTTAACAATAATACAAAGTTCTATGATGATATGGCAAATGATCAGATATTCTTGCATTAATTTAGGAGACTTTTTCTTTTCTTTATTTTTTTGTTTGACCCCTTTGTTATGAGGCTTTTTTAAGTACAAAGAATGAACCTATACCCTCTTCCATGATCAGGCGTGAAGTTTTTATTCAGCACCTGCTTAAGTCGTCCGTCTGATTTCTCTCCAAACCATTAGATTTACATACATACTACTCAATTCCTATGCATTTACATATCTAACACCAAAACCTCAATTTTTACATGCCTGCCACCCTGCCTATGCATGAAAAGCTGTATTTCTCTTTTTAAAAGTTAAAATGGTGGTATTTTAGATATGATATGAAAGATTTGGGTGGTATAAATGTAAAAAGTAAACTTCAGCTGTTAGAAATGTAAATACATAGGATTTGGGTGGTATGTATGTAAATTTCCCTTAAATTTCCCTAAAATTTATTCTTTTCTTCCTCAATTTTTTTATTGCGCTCAACATTTTTGGGTTAAATCCTCAGGTAGGACTTCAGTATCTATCAGGGACTATTACCGGCGGCAATGCTCGATGTCGAGAAATGCTTCAGGCATTTCGTGAGGCAATTATAGATTACTCTACACCTCCAGAGAAAGTTCTCGTACGAGATTTGACCTCGAAAATTGGTAGTTATGTTTCATTTTTGATTGAGTGCAGGCCCCTCTCAGTTGGCATGGGAAATGCTATCAGATTTCTGAAGAACAGAGTTGCAAAGTTACATCGTAACCTGTCGGAATCGGAAGCAAAATCTCGTCTTTTATCCGATATTGACCGTTTCATTAATGAGAAAATAATCATTGCTGACCAGATTATAGTACAACATGCTGTCACAAAAATTAGAGATGGCGATGTGCTACTCATATATGGATATTCGACTGTCGTCGAAATGATCTTACTACATGCGCACGAACAAGGAAAGCAGTTCCGTGTTGTGATCGTCGATTCTCGGCCAAAACTCGAAGGAAAAACGGTACTTCGTAAATTGGTTATGAAAGGTCTGAGTTGCACATACACTCACATAAACGCTGTTTCATATGTCATGCATGAAGTCAATCGTGTTTTTCTTGGTGCGTCCGCAATTTTGGCGAACGGAACTGTTTTTTCGAGAGTTGGAACTGCTTCTATTGCCATGGTCGCCCATGAATTTAGAGTTCCGGTTCTTATATGCTGCGAGGCGTACAAGTTTCATGAAAGGGTGCAACTTGATTCAATATGCTCCAATGAACTTGGTATGCTTGAAAATACTTTATTTGCTGGTTTAGTCTTGTTACTTTTTTTGGAAGATTTACATGCATACCACTCAATTCCTTTGTATTTACATGATACATTTCTTTTTTTTATTTTTACATAGACGCCACCTTAGCTATATGAAAATGTGTATTTCACTTTTTAAAAGTGAGAAGTAGTGGTATTTTTGATGTGATATGAAGGATTTGGGTGGTGTAAATGTAAAATCAAAGTTTAGGTGTTAGACATGAAAATACTTAAGACTTGGGTGGTATTTATATAAATGCCCCTACTTTTTTTTCTGAATTTTTTCAATTAAGAATTATTCTGATCTTTATAATTCTAAATTGCAGGTGACCCGGATGTAATTTCTATCGTTCCTGGGAAAGAAGATTCGAATCATCTGGCAAATTGGTCTGATCATAAGAATCTTCAGCTTTTGAATCTTTTGTAAGTGTGTTGATTTCTTTTTTTTTTTTGGAGAAGATGCCATTTTGATCTTTTGGGTGTATTGAAAAAGAAAATTTCCCTTTTGTTTTACAGCTATGATGCAACTCCTTCGGACTATGTATCGATCATTGTGACAGAGCATGGAATGGTGAGTTGTCAGAACCTTGATTTTTATTTTTTTCAATCGTAAAAATAGAAGAAAGAAATTATTATTACGCTATTTTCTAATTATATTTATTTAAATGTTGTATTGATAAAAGAAGTTCTTCGATCCATAAAAGGAATCTTAATAAATTGTAGTTTGAGTAAAAAAATAAGAAATGTTTCCAGGTTGAGATGTGTTTTTGCCGGCGTATGTTTTTTATGCTTGTAAATTTTGATACCTCATGTGTCAGTTGTCAAGACCTTCCATTTTCCTAATATTTTGACTTTACTTTCAACTAAATCCTTGTATCTTTAACCTCATGGTGCCTTCCACTGAATTTGTTCCGCCGATCTCATGTAACTTGCTGTGGCGGGTGTAGCCTCTTATTCTGTCTTCTCCCTGTACATATTTTGTTAAAGTGTCGAAATAGTCCCCTAACTATTATTTAGATGAGACCGTTTTAGTCCCTCGGGTGTATAGAAATGTCAAATTAATCGCTAAACTCTTTTAATATGGGTTAAAATAATCACCATGAATGACTATTTTAACTACTATAAAACAGTCTAAGTATTCAATTGATAATTTGTCTTTATGACTAAAATGAATCCCTACAAAAAGTCGGACCATTTTGACACTTTTTTCTATTTGCTAGAACTGCTGACGTTTAGTAGGGCCCAAAACTATAGTCCCAGATTCCCTTTCATTTACTAAATGATGGAACTTATTAAGTTTGCATGCTCCACTGCAAAATATGGATTTGCTGCACCAGAAGTGTCTAGGGTATGTTTGTAACTTAACTTTTCTATTTATATCATGTGAGGGTGACAAATACAGATCCATTAGTTCAATGCTTTGAACCTTAAATTTAAGGTTTCTATGGGGTCTGGTATCTATGAAGACCTTAGAAAGTTTTAATTTAGGTTCTTATTGTCAACGTTGATACTGGTTCTTTTGCAATGATAGTCATCCCTCATGCTTTCTTCATGCTGCCATCTTTGGCTTTCGTTCGTCTCCGCGTGATAAGATCTGACTACTGAAGTATTGGAACTTTGTGCCGAATCTCAACGACCCTTGTCTATGATTTGTTGAAGTCATTTTTGGTTATAGGAATAAAACCCAAAATAGTTCCCCCAGCTATTCAGATTCAGATGTTGGCTAATTTAAACCTAGAGTTTTGCAGTTATTTAATTTAATCTCTAGATTAGTAAAAATTTATCCCAATTAATCTCTTTTGTAGAAAACATGACACAAAATGATCTCAATTAGTCCTCCGCCTATACAAAATTGATCTCAATTCAGTCTCTTAAAGACCAAATAGCATCAAATTTCATTAGTCGGAGAATTAAATTAGAGTGCTGCAAAACTCTTGAGACTAAATTGTCACATCCCAATGGTCAGGAGACCATTTTGGAATTTAACCCATTTTGGTTTATTTGATGATAGTGGCATGTTTACAGTAACATGAGGCATCTCTTGTTATGGTGCGCAGTTGGGTTGATTTGTTTGGATTAATGACCAAACTAAGAAAATCAAAATGGTTTACCAAATGCATGTTTACAGTAACATGAGGCATCTCTTGTTGTGGTGCGCAGTTGGGTTGATTTGTTTGGATTAGTGACCAAACTAAGAAAATCAAAATGGTTTACCAAATCATCCAATTAAACCCATTTCACTTCATTCATCATCCAAAGTCATACTAAACAAATTAATTGATTGGTTGGGAGCATCCACACGTACCAATTGATTTTTTTGCAAATTAGTCTCGTATAAATTTGACTTGTAATTCTCTATGTAAGCTTTTACTGAATTCAAATTTACCCATGGGTAATATCAGAATCTTATTAATTAGAGAGTTACTAAACAAATTAATTGATTGGTTGGGAGCATGGTTTTTGTTTATCCACACGTACCAATTGATTTTTTGCAAATTAGTCTCGTATAAATTTAACTTGTAATTCACTATGTAAGTTTTTACTGAATTCAAATTTATCCATGGGTAATATCAGAATCTTATTAATTAGAGAGTTGGAGAAAGAAAGCTATAAGGTTTCTCTAAATTATCCTAAAGTACATGACTTGAACAAATGATTGAATTCGTTCTTACCCCACCCCATTGACCACCTATTATAGGTCTAGATTGAGGGACAATGTTTTTAGTCATGCTATATTTAGACTATACAAGTAAAAACTACATAGCAAAGAGGAACCAATGCATACCAAAAAATGAACCTAGCCATCTTGTAGCTGTAGAGAGTGCAGATCGATTTATGAGCGACGGCCAAATTCACATGACATTTCCTGAATATCAACGATGACTTCGCCTAGTCAACCTTGAGGTTGAGCACTTTAGACAATGCCGAACGAGTTGTTTTGTAACTTTTACGACTTCTTCTAATAAGTTTTAGAGCCAAATATGCTTTGATTGGGCGGGCAACTTGGGAATGTGTTTGTACCCTTTCTCGTCTTTCATGTACTGATCCTTCATAATTTGTATGGGTTAATTCGTGTACTCAGCCCATGCAAATTAGCAAGAATGAGTGTGAGTCAATTTTAGGCGGGAATTTCCTCCAAGGCACATGTAAGGGAGATTGAAGAAACATTGCATTAAGATTCTAATGTCATCCTTTATGGCATATAGCGCATGGATGATATTGAAAATTTTTTGAATATAAACGAACATTTCTCATTTGAAAAATACTACCTTCAGTGTATCATGTTGTTTTGTCATGTGTAAACTTTTCATTATTATTATAATTATTGTTGTTGTGGGACATTTGCGTATGTACCACACAATTCTTATATATTTACATATCTAACATTGAAATCTTTAATATCACATAAAAATACTACTATTTCTAATCTTTTAAAAGCGAAATATAGATTTTCATGCATAGGTAAATATCAAACTTCAGGTGTTAGATATGTAAATATCCAAGATATGCGTGGAGTGTATGTAAAATACTGCCATTTGTAATTTTTATGTCATGATTTTCAGGTTCCCCCGACCAGTGTGCCGGTTATTGTGCGAGAATATGGGAAGGATCAGTTCATATTTTGATAGCTGCTCTTCTGGCAGCAATTCTTAATGCCTTGATGCCCTCCCCATGATATCTACATGCGAATTATTTTTTGTAATTTTTTTTTTTTAATTTCTAGGAATAAATGGTTAATATTGATATAAAAGTTCCGGCAGCCTATATTTTTGCAGACTTCTACCCGTGAAGAGTGCAGCAGTTGGCCTCTCCTTCAGGTTTCTTTTGTCTGAACCAAAATTTTGGTATTTTTGTATTGATTTCCTACTGAAAGTGGTCGGTGCTTTTTCTTTTCTTTCATCTAAATCTTTGTGTAAATTTCTATTTGTTTTGTCCTTTTTTTATCTACATTTCTTTGTGACTGGGAAAATTTGGGGTTGATGATGCAATTTTAGGACTTGGAAATATTATAAATGTAAACATGAAAGTAAGTGTTAGATGTGTAAATGCATAATTATTTGTTATTTATGTAAATTTTTCAATTTTATATTCATATTTGGCCAACTATGAGCTGGGCAAACATGAACGAGCATGATGTAACACTGTTGTCTATTTGAATTAGAGGTGTACATGAGTCGAGTCAAGTTCAAGCTACGATTTGAATTTGAGTTTGAGTTTGATTAATCAATTGATTTGAGCTTGACCCAGAGTTAAATTTGATGAGTTGAAATTGACTCATTTAGCCGTGATAAATTAAAAAAATAAAAAATATAAATTTGATTTATAGAGAAATTTTAAAGTTTAATATATTTTAAAGTGAGTGAAGCTCCTAATTTCAACATGGTTGAGTTAGCTCTTGATGTCTCATATAAGGATTATAAATTAATTGAATTTCTTTGTTCAGCTCGGCTCATTTTTTCAGAAAAAAAAAAATGTTTTTTGAAATATTTAAAATAGTTTTCAGGAAAATTTTATAAGGAAAATTAAGTTTCATTTTAATATATTAAAATTTTTAAATAAAATAATATGTGATTTCAAATGCTCTATAACGAATTTATTGAAGATCAACTGCTATGAATCGAACAAGAGATTTAACTCTGAAGACAATAGTTTTGAGGACAGCTTAAGACAAAATTAGAATCAATATAAGATAGAAATGATTAAATCTCCCTTAAATATTGATTATATCAAACAATCAAAATAGGCATTTCTGTGAATATTAATCTTGTGTGAGAATTGTAGCCATGTTTAAATAAGAAATTGATTTTTTTTTAAACAGGGTCTATTTGTGGCAGCTATAGCTGTTTGAAGAAACAGTAGTGAAGTTGCCGTAAAAATAAACCGTTTTTCAAAAAATTGTGATAGCTATTACAAATTTATTTTATTTTCAAAAAATTATACCACAACTTTTCGGCAGCCACCACACTATAACAGCTCGGTTGAAAAAAATAATTTTATATCATAGAAATTTCTAAAAAACGGCAAGAAACTGTTCTTCAAACAGAACTATGGTGGAGCCCTGAGAAGCAAAAAAGACAGAAATATGTCCCAAATAAACCTTTAGAGTAGGTCAATGCACTCAATTGGGTTTGCCCAAGCACGACGCACCCACGAAGCTAAACCGAGTACCCCCTCTCCTCTCCCTGTCCACTTGAGAGGCATTCCTCCATGCAAAGGACCCGAGACTCCCGTTCATTTGATGCTAGATGAGCTGCCATGCTCTCTTGGATCTGGGATCTGATCCACCGGATGGCCAACATGTGACCAGCTCAACCCAACCTTCAAACAACCAAAACTCAATCCCATCATATTTGACCACCATCCTTGCTTTACATGGCACCTTTCCAAGTGGCCAAATGGTGGCATGCCACTGCCCCATGACATCTCCCACTAATATTCCCATTTTCCTCAGCTTGACCCCTCAACTTAAGGTAGAAGGCAACATTCAAGCATTAAGAATAAAAAATTCAAGTGGTGAATATTAAACACTCACTTGTTTAAAATAAGATGCCAATTAATGAAAAAAGATATTGACAAAGGTCACAAAACCATAATTAGATTTTCTTAAATCATTTAAAAATTCTGATTTATAAAATGAGTTTTAAATAAATGCAATAGTAATAGCTTATAGTCTCTTACAATGCTCATTTAAGTGGTATAATATATATAAAAAAAATGTATGGTTTTCATCATGAATAATTTGGATGGCAATGTTGTAGATTAAAATTTCATGCTATAATGCAAAACTTACCAATGTGAATGATGTCAAAATTAGTACATATGGATGAGTTGAACAAATTTGACAAATAACATAATATTGATTACAAATTATCATGATTACTAATTACATAGTATATTAAAATTAATTTGTTGTCATACACACTTTGTAGATCAAGTAGAGGGCATCAAAAGCAACGCGAGTAAAATGAGGATGAAAAATCTAGATCTAGGTAAAAATTATCATACTCATGATCTATTTTAAATAAAGGTTTATTCATTTTTTTTAAAATTAATTTATTAAAGTAATAAATTTGCCCAGCCTCAAACAAAAAGTTGGTTCCGCCCATGGCTATTATAGAAAGATCTTAGGATGGTTGCTTTGCATGGACTAAATGTTAGGATGTTTTTTTTTAGTCTAATATATTTTCTGCAAGTGGTTGCGTTAAGTGATAAAGGGGATATAAAATAAAATTAAATTTAAACTAACTTTTTTTTGTAGGAGTTATGCTATGCTTATGCCTCCATTTAGGCATGATTTTGTACACAAGAGGATTGATGCCTAAGTGTACTAAATCCACATGTGTTTGTCATATACATGTTGTGTGTGTGATTTTTCTTTTTATACTAACCTCTATTTTGAAGGATTTTACTTGAGCTTTGTCTTTTAAATGTAATTCATAGAGTTAGGTTAGGGCTCATAGGAAAGGGATGAGTGATGATGTACTTGGTGATGCCTTGCGAGGCCCAGAGGACAACTACGAAGAACATTCTATTTGAAGATAAAGTACAACAAGAATTCATAGGCAATCCTTAGTTCTAGAATTACTTCGAGCTGTATATGAGTGGAAGCTCGACTGTCTTCTTTTCATTTCTTCTGGGATGTACCAAGATACCCGACTGCACCAACCTTTTTTTTATTATCTTGTTGCGTTTTCTTGTGGTCAATTTACTTGATTGCACATTAGAAATGACATGTTTTTTCTAGGTTTATTTTTGTAATTGTGTGCCTTGAATTTAGCCTAGATATTTTTCATTAAGCTAGTAGGATAAAATAAATAGTTCTACCCCACCTAATAATTAAACTTAAATTTCTAAGAAAGTCAACATAAAATCAACTCACAACCCAGAGTAATAAATCAACTAAAATCAATCAGAAACTAATAGGAATAATGGAAGAATTTACATTTGTATAACATTCACTCCTTTTTTTGGAATGTTTCCCACTATACGTAATGGGGTTCTGATCAGCGAAGATCATGATTCTTATTGAGAAAGTTTGTCTTTCATACGGATTGAACTATAATCAATTTTTTATGCATGCACATATAGTTTGCATGATTAACACAACCTTCAATCACAAAATCAGATCATTCATTCAAGTCAAAATAAAATAATAAAATTTTTTAAAAATATAAAATTTTGTATTAGTTAGATGCATTCATATATGGGTCATTCGATCTTTAGGATCGAGTTGTAAATCTTAATGCATCTCTCTTAATTAACAATAACCTACGTATTTATAACATAAAAGGTGTTAGTTGGCAAGCTTTTCTAGGAAGATTATAAAGCCCAAAAGACTGGAGTTGAATTTACTTCTCAGTGGGAGTGAAGTTCAAAAGTGCCACCTTCTTAAACTAGGATCAAACTTCCTACCTCTATCGGTAGGCTCACCTTAATTTAGGGTAAGACAAGACAAGTTATGTCTTAGGCTTTTTCACGACTCATATCGTTGAAATATAATTCTTAACCTTATAAAATTAAAATAACCAATCTAAACCAAAATCTCAAATCTAACTTCTAAATTGTAAAGCCAAACTATAGGATTGACTAGAGAGCTATAGGGCTTGTTGTTATCTGGCACTCCGTACTCCTCATATGTTAGCTACTAGCAAAAATTATTCCAAGTTTGAACTAATCCCTTTTGAAACTCTAAATAAAATTCTTGAAATCCAATCTTTGAGATCTTTAGAAATAATAACCAGTTGTTCAAGAGTTATTCTAAGGGGTAGCCTTTCTTAGGACGTAATTAACTAAAGAGATTTGCCACTTTAAGAATACAAGACTTTAAATTATAATAAACCTTATCATCTTCTAAGGGTAGAAAAAAATTTTGGTAACGCAAACCCCCAAAGTAGTGAAACAATCAATTCGCGATCGGATTCATTATATGGTGTAGTATTTTGCCTCCTGATGTGATATTTATTCATGAAGTTGTATTCGATTACATATGAGATTTCAAAACTCTGTGTGTGATCCACACCTTCTTTCTCTTGATAGAATTTATCCCCCTTGATACAGTCAATGGGGTAGTTACCATAACTTCATTGCATGCATCAAATACAACCTTTGTGAATTGGCTTTTGGGTATAATTTATCATGCAAGATGTTGTGTGATAATAGATTTCATCACTATTTGAGGTCTATCATAACCATATTTGATGAGTAAATCAATGATTCCATCTTATCCCTCCCAACTCAGGTAGTCTAATAGATATCATTGTATTCCCTGCATAAACGATCATCCACCCCTTCAAAGAAATAAAAGTTTTTATAGTTTTATGTTCTTATAGCTTTTGAGTAATTGTAAGTCTTTTCTAAAATTATAACCAGAAATTATTTTTAAAATAATATCAAATTTAATAAAGAATAATTTTTTTCTTTCAAATAGCCTTATCTTTTTCCTTAATTTATTTTAAATATTTGTGCTATAGGTCATTTGTTGGCAGTTTAGGTCCTAGAGTTACAAATCATCATAATGTCATCACACCATCTCGCCTTTTAGATTTTTTTAATCAAAATCAATGCAAACATCTTCTTTTATCTTCTTTTTTGCTTCTACACTATTCTTTTTCAGCGTCCATAAGAGGCAATGATGGTGAACTTGATTTTGAGATGCAATGAGTGCGTTATGGTGTCATCATGAGAGTCTTCTATGTTGAGACTAGACATCATTGAGACAATCTCCTTCAATTACTAGCTTCCTAAGACAGTAAATCTGAGAATGGTGAGTTTCGCAGAAGCTACCTGGCCAAGGAACAACTTATCTTTCGAGAGGCACAAAAAATTTTCATCATCTTACTACTCAAATCACCTATATGCCTTAAGGTTTTTATAGAGAAAAGGATGGAAGCTTATTTCAATCCAAAATATCCTATTTTTAAGTCTAGTATGCATTGTATATATCTGGCATGAAATGAAGAAAATGACAGCTGTCTCTTCACATATACCAAAGAGTTGCATTTAATGTTTGTTAGTTCATTGATGTCCGTTGCTAACCGTCGCAATTATTTGATTTTTCGTCATACAAAGAAAATAATCAAGTCGGACCTAATATCTAATTTTTAACCGCCAACATTTAATGAAAGCCTTTCCGAACATCCAATCTCTCTGCCTATAAGGGGAATGCTAAAGGTAACCACTCGTTGTGGCTCGACCTACGACATGCCTAGTAAACTACTGTATAATGCATATTTGATTTTTCATCATACAAAGAAAATAATCAAATCCAACCTCCTAATATCCAATTTTTTACTGCCAACATTTGATGAAAGCCTTTCTGAATATCCAATCTCCCTACCTATAAGGGGAATGATAAAGGTAACCACTCGTGGCTCGACCTACGACGTGCCTGGTTAACTATTGTATAATGCATACCAAAGTGTGGTGTTTAATATCCATCAACTGTTAATGTAGGATGTTGGCTTTCATAGTGAGTTGGCATCCCCACCTATAAGAAAAATGATTTTAAGATAAACTATATGATATTATTCAGCATCTAACGTTCCTCATTAATCATCATTTAATGTATACTAAAGAGCAATGTAACCTATAAGAAAAATGATTTTAAGATAACTTAAATGATGTTATTCAACGTCTAACGTTGCTTATTAATCATCATTTGATGTGTACTAAAGAGCAATGTCTCGCATCCGTGATCGCCAATGTCCAAGTTGCCTTTCTAGCCATTAAATCTCCTGCCCATAATAAGGAGGACAAGTTAAACAGTCTGATCTATATTGCTTCTCATCAACAATTGTCCAACTGATAATGGTGGGAGGCCTTTCGATACTTATGAATGTTTTACCAGGATATAACTGAAATTTTGCCGGGAAGGTGAGTCCTTTAGAGGAATATGGTGGCAAGAAGATCAAGACTAATCCAAATTTGACTAGTTTGAGCTGATTTGAGAAATCAAATTAAGAGGGAATGATGGTGAAGGGTTAGTTTAGGGTGTGAAGTTATAATTTGGTGTAGTTGGTAAGATTTGATGGTATGTAAGGCCTTATAGTAGTGTAGTGAACAAGAGAAGAAAGCGGCTCGCCTAAGCTTGGCTGAAAACTATAAGGAAAGATTTGGGGTGATTTTGAAAGTTTGTACAGCGAGGTGTGAGAATGATTTAGAGAAGGTGAGAAGGTTAACAAGCATTTATAGGATAAAAAGACTAATCCCAAAAAAAGGGTTAAGATAGACCACCAAATACTAATTCAAAGATAAAAAGATTCACTAAATTATTTTATCATTAAAAAATTAGAACTTTTCATTACATAATAACACTAATTACGTAGTTTACATGGGGAAATTTGGAGGGTAAGTTGGGGGTGGCCATTGTTGAAAGGAAGTGCCAACCACCATTATTACATTCATTTTATCCTCTAAAGTTCATTAAATGGCCAAGCCATACATGTAATCTAGGATAAAAAAAAAATCCAATTTTTAAGTCTTAAGTATTAAAACTCCAAAAAGAATTAATTATTCAAATCAAAATTTTAAGTCTTTAAGTATTAAAACTCCAAAAAGAATTAATTATTCATTCCTAAATGGGCTCTTTCTTACTCTCCTTATGATAGATGTGCTTGTTGTTGGGTTGTGTGGATCCAAAACACCAACAAGTAACAGAGCACCCGGCTCATATGCGTCGTGTTGTGGGCGCCTATGTGCCTACTGGAGTACTATTTGATTACCAGAGAGACCTGCACGTATGTGCCAGCCCATGGGAGCACATGCACCCGACTTTCAAACAGAGATACAGAGAGGTTGTTGGCGCTTAAGCGCTCAATATTAGGCGCTCTGCTTCTTTTCTCCAGAGTGCGGTCGCCTATACGCCTGGAGCAATTTGTACACGAGATACAGAGAGGCTGTTGGCGCTTAAGCGCTCAATTTTAGGCGCTCTGCTTCTTTTCTCCAGAGACCACGACTCTTAGGCGTCAAGTGCGGTCGCCTATACGCCTGGAGCAATTTGTACACAAATTAATTAGTTCTTAAGCCAATGTCAAGCAAGGTAAGTGTATGAAGTGGGTTTTCCTTCAGAAGTTCTTCGACAAGTATCCCGGTGAATGTGAGAAGGGTCGAAGAGTGGATTTTAGAAATTCAGTGTGATTCTTGCGTTGGATTAGAGAAGAAAGATTGTAGAGAATGTTTGTAATTTCCTTGTGTAAAGAGAGGAAACCGGTGCGGGATCTTTGTAAGAACTTTCTGAATTTCACAGTGAAATTTCTGATGGTATCGCACCATGGTTTTTTCCCGTTCTTTTCAGCAAAATTCACGTTTGTTTTTCTAGTAGCTTTGATTGTGCTTCTGTTTATAATGTTTGTTCCAATTTTTTTCTTGAATCTTGTGCGATCCTATTATTCTGTGATGTCGTTTAGTTTCTAATTGATCCTAAGTCCTAATAAAGTTGGATTTTGTTCTTGGATTCCTATTACTTGCTTAGACTCTTATAATTTGGCATTCATATCTTGATCATGTATTATCATAACATTCAATTCTTCTCCTCATAAAATAAATCATATTATATTTTGTGTCACATACCAAAACATGACATCTCATATTTGTCATCCATCAACATTCAACGCAAGTCTTCTGGTCATTTAATATTTTCTCTTCTAAGGAGAATGATCGAGTCAAATCGCTTAAGAACACTCAATCACTCGCATTCGTCATAGACAATTGCACATTTTAAAGTTGATGTTCAACATCTATCAAGCATCACATTCCGCGTAGCCTTCATAATCCTTTTCCATTTTTATGAGAAGCACAATACGGTCAAATGCTTAATTTCACTTGATAATGATATTGTCATCGAACAATGCCCAATGAATACTAAAAAGTGATGTATGGCCTTTGACAACCAACAATATTTGATGCAATCCATTATGGTCATTTGATTTTCCGATTTATAATAAGTCAAACTATCTAATATTGCCCGATCTCCAACAAAATCATCAATTTTTGCCCACATACACCAATAAATAATTTTACCAGCCATGATGCCTGCCATAAACCTTCCAGATCACAAAAACTCTCTTTCTATTAAGATAACAATGAAGGCAGGCCATTAAACGCACTCAAACATTACGTTATCAAACGTTAGAAGGTGCCTGCTAAAGACCAATGCATGACACTCATAAACCACCTACATCCATCTTCCCTATCATCATATCTCCCTCCTAAAAGAAAAATATCAGTCAAAATATCGATTATCACTCAAAAACCGACATTACTCATTAATCGTCGCCTGATTCTTAAAATCAAATAATGAGCCATTGATGTCAAACACACATCTTGAAGGTCACTCGGCATCCCCTGCTATTAATAAAAAGACCAAGCTGACTACCTAATAATGCCACATAACAATTCAGACAACCCATCCTCCTATTACCGGTAAAAGGGATATTTTCCACAATTCATATCTATAAATATTGTATTAATGCCTTCTCCACTTACAAGACATTCTTAATATCCTTAATTCACGTTAACAAATCATCAAAGCTAGACAAACGCGATTTTCCTTTTCTCGAGTTTTACATGTAAATAATATTATTTCTCTTTGGAGCTGGCCTTAGCTTATGTATATCTATACAAGTTTTCCATTTAAGCACTAAACCAATATTCCCCTTCTATCACTGTGAATATGATCACACTACAAGAATAAAACTAATTCTAGAGTATTTGGTTTAACTATTATAAGAAAAAACTCGTATAAAGAAAGGCAAAAATGTAATTTCCATAACAAGTTTGTATAGAAGACTTCCCACAAGAGGGATATGAAAATATTTAGCTATTTCATTAAATAAATAAATATTTTTATATAGTTATACACCTGTTAGGATTAATTTAAGGTACTACAATGAAATCAAATTTTTATTTCATTATAAAATTTATTTAAATTATTGAATCACTAGTAACTGTCACAATGATATTTTTAACAAAAGTCAATTATTTCACATGGAAGCACAATAAAATGCAGTAAATTTTAAATTTTACAACCTGGAAACCGCGTGATCCATGTCGGATCGTGTGATGATAAGATTGCGAGTAATCTCCTTGAGAGATGTGCAGCCACTTAAAGCCATGGATAGCTCAAACTCATCTCTAAGCATCTGCAGCATCCTTCTTACTCCAGCTTCTCCATCCACTGCCAATGAGAACACCACAGGCCTTCCAACCTGAGCCCATGCATTGATTTGTATCGGTATTAGCTAAAATTGATATAAAATTGAATATCTTGCTATGAAACAAAAGACTATCAGGTAGGTGTGTAAATGATTTAAGGTGTGTTTGAGCCACCCATGACTTGAGCTTAGCTTGATTAATTAATCAAATTTGAGCTCGAGCATGAGCTTAAATTTACAGGTCTAAGTCGGCTAACAAACTATCTCATTAATATTAAATTGAGAAAGTTATTTTGATTTAATCAACTATTATGATAAAATGACAAAAAGAATGAGCAATTAGGGAGAAATAATAAGAAATCACTTGACATGAGAAAATAAAATATAATTTATAAACATTTTTAATAGTTTATACAAAAATCTTGACTTTTATTTTATTTTAAAAGAGTTTTATATTAATATTTTTATAAAAAAAGCCAGCTTGTGAGTTAAACAACTTGACTTATTAGCCTATTGAGCTCAACTCACGAGTCATTTATCGAACTGAGCCTGAACCGGCTCGATTCAATTCCACCCCTACTCTCAAGGATAATCTTCGCATGTGATTCTAAATTTAGAACATTTTTTTCTTCTTCAAAGAGGAGAATTAAGTACTAGTTTATTTTTGTGTCTACTACTTTACATATGAACAAAATAGTTGAATGGATGGCATATAAAAACACTCTTATAAATTTAACTTCAATTATATATTTCATCAATCAAATCATTAAATACACTATAAATATCATCAATAAGCTATATACTTAATGAAAAACTGCATGTATGAAAAATCACATTTATCTTCTTCTGCAATCAAAATCGTCCGAGAGAAAAATTTTAATTTAATGATAAAATGATTTCAGAAGTTATCGAATCACAAATCCCACCGGATTTAATATTTTGTATAAAAGGATAGATGATTTCGATCAAATATTTGAACTTAATTATACCAAAATCTAAACAAAAAGAATGATGATTCTCCTCCTTGGAGGAGAAAATTTTATCGCTTCTAGTTCGAGTAATAGCCACTTACAAAAACACCAGAGGCTCCAAGAGCTAATGCTTTGAAGACATCAGTTCCACGGCGAATTCCGCTGTCCAAAAACACAGGAACTCGGCCTTCTGCAGTCTTAACAACCTGAATTTTATAGGAGAGAGATGGTTCATGGTGAGGTAATTGTATCCATAAATCTCTTTGATTTTTTTAATATTTGTTAACAATATTGGTGCCAGTGTATCACTTGTCAAACTAGAGAAGGAAAAACCTCATTTTAATCAGATATTTATGAACATCTATGTAAGTTCTGAAGAGATATTGAAGAAAGCAATCTTATCACTGATTCTCTGAGTAAACTGATGTGATCTAATTATGTTTTTTTTTAACTTCACATGTTCTTAATGCTTTTGCAATAAAAAAAAATAGATCTTAGCCAATAACCATGTTGCTAGAAGACCTAGTTGATTTTTTTTCTTTAAACAAGATGCCCTAACATTACATAAAGAGAATCTTAAGGCTGTCAGGTAACAACTTTAATAAATCCTGTAAATCTGGGTTTACAAAATCCTGCTAACACCAAGATTTAGTAAGTCTGGTATCAAGAAAAAACTGAGAGGAATTGAGAAGAAACTTGATTCACTAAATCCCGGATTTAAAATTTATCATTTTTTCCTGCCTGGCAGATTTTATGTTAAATTCCGCTTAAATCCATTACCAGACATTTCCTTAGGGTACATGAAAGTACTGTGACAACAAATTGAGAGGCCTATGTATAATGTTGCTTTACAAGTTGGAAAATAATTAGAAGTTTACTTCTTCGAGGACAGTGACAGTTGCTGGAACATAATCAAGCTGGCGAGCACCATGGTTCGACACGATGATGCCAGCTGCTCCATTTTGGATGGCAAGCCTTGCTGCATAAAGTAGGAGTTTCGAGAAAATGTAATTACGTGAATGAATGTTGCATATAGTTTATAAAGTTTTTATACTAACTCGCTAGAAAATGGAGAGATTCTTACCATCTTCAGGAGTTAGAACTCCTTTAACAAGAATTGGTAGGGAAGTGATTGTCTGCAACCACTTGATATCCTGATATTATTGTAAACCCATGAAGAAATTCTCGATGAAACAAAAACAATCAAGAGTAAAATTAAGTTAATCTAGGGAAATCAATTGCTAGAGTCTTCAGATAAAATCAATAAATGTGTTTATTTTGTTTGTGCTCAGTTCCTTACTCCATATTATGGGGGATTGGAGGGTGGACGGAGGGGGTGCACATAATTAAATATCTAACAAATAAACTCTACTTTTTACATTTATACTATCCAAATCATTCATATCACATCAAAATACCAATATTTTAACATAAAAAAAGTGAAATACACCTTTTCATGCATAGGTAAGGAGTGGTATAGGTAAAAAGTGAAGTTTAGGTGTTAGAAATGTAAATATATAAGATTTGAGTTGATAGCATATAAATCTTCATTTTTTTCAATTACTTCTGCAAATTTGAGTTAAATTGAAAGGAACAACATTAAACTACCATTTCCAAAGGCACAAGGCTATTTATGACACATTTTACCAGTTCAATTTAGTTGCAACAAATAAGTAGAAACAATATTTTATTTGTGCAAGAAAATAATTCAAATCTATCTACAATACCTTCCAGCTCAAAGATCGATCAATTTGATTTGCAAAATAAGAAGCAATCCCAGAATCATTAGTCTGATAAAAATGGCAAGAGAATTAAAAAAAATGATACAAGCTGAGCCATCAATTTGTATATATAAAAAGTCTCACTTTCTCCATTGTGCCAAGGTCTAAGCCCTCAAAGTTCTTGAAGATCAGAGATGGAGGCAAAACAAACCTATATAACAACGTGAAAACATTGAGATTGTGAGAGGAAACAAAAGTTATGATTAAAAACCTTGAACTCATAGACCATGTTTGATTTGAAGGACTTTTGAGAGAGGAAATGAAAAACTGATGGGAATAGAAATGGAAAGGAATTGAATTGAAATTAGTTTTCAACTAATTGTTTAGTTTGGGAGAAATTGAGTGCACGAATGTTTTTCCTTTTTGTGTAGCTGATGAGATATTTAATTTTCATTTAGGGGATATATGAGTTGAGTAATAATCAAATAAAGTTTTCTTATTATTTTTCACTAGGATAAAGAAAAAAAATGAATTTGCATTCTTTCCAATTCTTCCAAATCAAAAATACCCATGGGACTCATAAATATGAGATCAGCATGCAATGGATTTACTTTGTTTTTTTTTCTATGTTTGTCTCATCCACAAGCAATAAATTGGATTTATGTGTTTCATCAAGTAAATTAAATACACGAAATTTGGACAAAAGAAAATTAGCATTTCTATTTGGTTCAAAATTATTCGATTAACCTCACATATGATCTAAGATACTGCAAGGGAGAGTAATTATTATTATTATTATTTCTTATTCTTATTATTATTATTATTATTATCCTGGGGATTACATTTTATACAACTCCAAAAAAATATTCGTTTTTTGTTATTCTCTTATATATTATTATTTTATGCAGATAAAATTAATAAATCATTTCTCTTCCTAATAAAAATAAAATTATACTTATAAATTAGAGAGTCTCACTTTTAAATAAAGCTCTCAAACAAAAATTAAACTAAATTTAGAAAAGAGAAAATAAATTATTTATATTAATTCAAAAAAATACAATAATTAGAAAAGCAGATGGCAAGTAGACTAAATTAGAGAATATATAGAATCATATATATAGCTAGTTTTATATATATATATATATACACATACAACAGAGGCTATTATACGAGCCTCCAACCACACATAATGTATCTCACAAT